GTTCAGAGTTCAGGGTTTAGGGTTCGGGGTTCAGGGTTTAGGGTTCAGGGTTTAGGGTTCAGGGTTGAGGGCCTGGCAGGCCTTTTTGTGGAGAAGTGCAGCTGGCGTGATCTGCTGTGCTTCACGTGGGACATCCAGACTTTGGAAGGCAAGGTACCTATCTGTGATTCTGGACTGTCGTTCAGGCGCTTGAAGTAAGTCACAGTCTATGTATCCTTATCGGTTACATTAGGGTCATATTGGGGTTTATGTTAGGGTTATATTGGGGTTATCTTGGGTCTATGTTAGGGTCATATTGGGGTTCAAGTTTCTGAGTAGTAGCCCAGGATATGTTGGCATCCGTTCTGCACCATGTCAAACCAGACGGATGGGCCTTGGAAGCAGTGGCGGACGCGGATGAGGTCACTTGGTAGGAAAAGCCCGAAGGTTTAGGGTTTAAGGGTTTAGGGTTGCACTCCCGCAAACTAACATGGAAACCCAAAAAGGCTTTACAGAGACTGCAGTCCCTCAAAAAGGGGGCCCTATGGGTTTCTATGTCAGTTTAGGAGAGTGTAGCCAGGTAAAATCCTTAGCCCCTTATGGCTACTAAAGCCTAAGCCCTCCACCCTTATTACCGCGTGAGGTCATCACAGCCCGGTTCATCTTCCGGACCGCCTATGCAAGCTGCATTGGCCATGTGAGGCTCTGTGGAGGTCTATGTTGGACCATGATGACTGCAGCGCAAGGGCTTGTAGGCCACGAAGAGAAGCGAGGTCTCACAAGGGAGCTAGGTGGGTATCTCTGAAATTTAGGGGCTCCGCCTATGTGAATGCCCCCACCGTAACTCAAGGGTGTTCTCTAAAATTCTATCCTCATAAAGGCGTTTAAGGGGGATTCTGTGGGATCACCATTTAAGCTCCAATAGTGGAAAGGGTGAGGATCCCCTGATGAAGTGGTCCCCAGAGGTGGCCACTCCGCGGCAGTGCGAAGGTCTGCAACACAGCCAAAAAGCAGGGAGGAGCCCTTCGTCGTGATTCTTGGTTGATTTTGAGGACATCATAACCAGAAGGACGCCTTTTTGACTGCTTGACGGTGTGTTGAGGACCCCAGGTAGTGTGGCGAAGGCACCTGTGATTTCATGAGCCCTCACGAAATTCCGATGCAATCTGTTAAAAAATACAGCTTATACCCCTTAACCCTCGACTTTCAAACATATGCCTAATCCCCAAAATCTGGAACATACACGCTCAACCCTAAACTTTGAGCCATAAGCACTAAACCTTAATTCTTAAACCCTAACCCCCTAAGCTCTCAACCCAAAGCCCTCAACTCGGAAAACATAGGCCCTAGACTTGAGGCCATGAAGCCAACCCAGACACCGTTCAGGGATTAGGGTTTAAGAGTTGGGGTTTAAGGTTTAGGATTCCAGGTCTAGGTTTCAAGGTTTAGGGTTTAAGGTTTCAGGTTGAGGGTGTAAGGTTTAGGTTGGGTACTGCCCCCCTGAGTAACAGTTGGATAATAGATATAATATGGTTATGTATAGCCCTTAATAGGGCCCCTAATATAGACTGTTACTGGGGGTGGAGTACCCAAGTTTTAGGGTTGCGGGTTTACAGTTTAAGGTTTGGGGTGGCAGCCCAGGATTGTCGGAGGCAGCCAGTGTGGCGTGACTCTGGGCGCCCGGCTGAAGCAGCTGGGAGTTCCCAACCTTGCCACTAGGTGAATGTTAACCTCCTAACCCTAATGACCCCCCTTAACCCTAAACCCCCCTAACTACAATAATGTTCATCTCCTCTCCCTAGTAACTCCCTAAATCCAAAATACACCCTAACTTTAATATACTAGGGGGAATATCTATTTATAGGGGTTTCGAGGAGTTCATTATTGGGTGCAGGGATTGGATTCAGGCTTCAGAGTGTAGGATGCAGGGCTTAGGGTCTAGGGTTTAAGAGTTTTAGGGTCGGGTTTAGTGGTCCAGGGTTCAGGTTGAGCGTATAGTGGTTGAGCGTTTGGTTGACTGTTGGGTATTCAGCTTGCATTGTGCCCTCAGTTTGCTTTTGAACTTGCATTGTGGTCTAGGGTTTGAGTTTAGGTTGCTGTTAAGTGATTGGACGCGATTTCTGGGTCTGTCTGCCCCGCTGCAGGATTTCAGCCCAAACCTCAAACCCTGAACCCTGAAGCCTAAGCCTAAGCCCTAAATCTTGAACCCTAAATCCTAAACCCTGAACCCAAAACCCTAAACCTTAGTCCTTTCGTAGCAACTTATGGGGTTGCTGTTGAGGAACTTAATCTAAGTTACTATATTGGGTAAACTCTATGAATTACTATATATGCCCAGTATGGTAACCCTAAACCCCAAACTCCATATACCCCTATATATACCCATTATGGTAGCTTAATTTAAGTTCCTTAAACCAGCTAAACCCTAAACTTTAAATCCTAAACCTTAGGTGCTTGAGAAGAATGAACGACCTGGGGATGCTTGGCGACACCGCTACGACTCCTTGCGGTTGCACTTCCAAGTCACCTACTGTGGCCCGGCTTTGGGGTTTCAGGGATTGCGGCTTAGGGGTTGAGTTTAGGGCTTAGGGGTTTGAGGATTAGGGTGCAGGGTTTAGGGCTTAGAGGTTTAGGGATTACGGAGTTTGGGGTTCAGGGTTTGGGGTATTAGGGTTTAGAGAGTTTGGGGTGCAGGGTTTAGGGTATAGGCTTGGCTCCCAGGACCTTGATTTTTTGGTTGCGTATTTTCCTTTCAAACTTTCTTTTCAATAGCAGGAAGGTTGAAACTTTCACTTTTGGAAGGTGTCCCACAGTCAGCTAAGGTGAGTTCCCCTATTTGCCCTTCCCGGACAGCTGGCCCAAATACCTCACGAAGGATCAGATGGCCGACTGGATTGACATCTATGCCACCGTGATGAACGTTGACCTATGGACAGGTCCACTGGCACCCCACCCTGCCCCGCCAGGATTCCCCTGAACCAAAGTTATTTTGGGATACTTAAGCCTACTTAAGGTTACCAAGGGGGAATCTACGGGGGGACCTTAAGGTTCCCGTACCTTATGTTATTTAGGCATACTTAAGCCTACTTAAGCTCAATAAGGGGGAATCCAAGGGGGTAGTAGGAAACCCATTATGTGGATAGGCTCCCGCTGCGTGAAAGCAGAGTGGGACGAAGTGAAGAGCACCTGGACCGTGCATGTTGCTTGCTAATTCTCAGTACGAGGGAGGAATGGTTAAGGGTTTAGAGGGTTCAGGGTTTAGAGGTCAGGGTAGGAGTAGGCCCTATGTAAGTATGCATCCCTAGAGTAGCCTCTCTGTAATCCTACATTATGAATCCCAAGCCCTAAGCTCTACATCGTAGTTTCCATTTTCTTTTTCAGATTCCGTTCATTTCTTACCCTAAGCCCTAAATCCTGAATAGTAGTTTCCATCTTGTTTGTTCCATTTCTTAACCCACTCCTTAACAACCAGCGAGGTCGACAGACATGGCGAGAGAGTCCAACTGCAGCCTCGTCATTTGGTGATCGCCACAGGGTTGAACGGCACGGCATACATCCCAAAGCTCCAAAACCAGGCAGTTTAGGGTTTTGGCTTGAAACCTACATCGCAAAGCTCCCGATCCAAAAACAGGAGCTTTAGGGTCTAACTTGAATCCCCAAGCTCCCAAGCAGGCGGTTTAGAGTTTGGAATTTAAGCTTTTGCTTGCATCCCACAGCTCCAAAACCAGGGCACCTTCGCGGGAGTCACCCTGCACTCCTCGCAGTACCTCTTGGGGGCGCCCTATACCGGGAAGAAGGCTGTTGCCGGATTGCTCTTACGGAACTCAAATGAAGTTATCGAATAAGAAGGATCCCCATCCCTAAACCCTAAGCCCCCAACCCTCAACCCTAAATCCTACACCCTGAACCCTAAAGTGAGTTGTTGAAGTGTCTTAATGGCAGCCCAGGTTGTTGTGGGCTCTGGCACATCAGCTCACGACATCTGCCAAGATCTCTGGGAGCATGGAGCAGAGGTTACGATGATTCAGCGGAGCCCGACACCGATTACCAGGATCAGCACTCATCAACAGGTGGGGCTTGTCCTAAAGCAGGGATCCCGTTTTGAGGTCCGTGTTGGGGAGTGAGCGAACCCTAACCCCTAAACCCTAACCCTAGGCCCCTAAACCGTTTAACCCTAAACCCTAAGCTCCAAAAGCCCTAAGGCCTAAATGGGGTAAACGGCCTACCATACACTCCTACATTACCCTGAACTCACCTCAATATAACCCCTATTAAGCCCACGACCCTAAACCCTAGACCCTAAACCCTAAACCCCAAACCCTAAACCCTAAACCCTAAACCGGGGATCGCCCGCAAGCAGGTCTGCTTGCAGCGTCTCTACTCTGAAGAGGCCAGAGCCAGTGGAATGAGCACTGAAGCGGCTGATTTCGAGCGTCCGGACCACTGTTACGGTCTAGGGTTTAGGGTTTAGGGGTTTGGGAGTTTAGGGTTTAGGGTGTAGAGGGTTTGGGGTTTAGGGTTTAAGGCTTAGGGTTGGAGTTTAGGTTTAAGGTTTAGGGTTTAGGTTTCAGAGGTTCATGTCCAGAAGACATACATCTGAACAATTACGCCTGCACCCATAAGTCCTACTCCATCCCGACAGGGCGTTTCCCTCCCATCATCTTTGGAGTTTTTGCCGGCAAAGACGAACATCAAGTAGGCCTACGGCGCGCTTTCTAGGGTTCATGATCGATCCCACTATGACCCTAAGTATCCTATTACCAAAACAACTCACGATTCCTCAATTATGCTTTTTCGGGTATCCTGGATATTGGGGGAACATATTTTCATGGGAGCCCTCCGAAGAGACCATAACTTTGACAACCCTTCATCTCTTCTTCAGTACATTCATTTTTGTGCAAGATGTTTTTATGTAAAATCATATGGCCTAGGCTCTCCTCCAGTCCATTGTCTGTAGTTGTAATTATACCATCCCATACGCCTAAACCCTAAAGCCCAAACCCTAAACTCTGAAGCCTAAACCCTAAACCCTAATCCTGCCTATTCGTCTGTGACAGTTCTTGGGCGGTGGAGGAGTCTGAAGTAGCCCCCCAAAAACTAAACTCAAATACCCAAAACCCTAAACCCTAAACCCTAAACCTAAAACCTTAAAGCCCTTAGCCTTAAACCCTAAACCCTAAACCCCATGACTGAGGTTCATTTCCACGCCTTACCGTCTTCTTCTCGAAAAACAAAGCAGAGCAGCCGTGGAGCTAAGGGAACGAGATGCAGATTTGCTGCAGCGTTTTCTGAGCGCAGATGAAGAGCGTTTAAGGTTTAAGGTTAAGAGGTTTTAAGGTTTAAGGCTAAAGGTTGAGGGTTTTAAGGATTAGGGTTTAGGGTTTAAGGTTAAGGGGTTTTAAGGTTTAAGGTTGAAGGTTTAGGGTTTTAAGGTTTAGGGTTTGGGCTTTAGGGTTTAAGGATATTTAAGGGACATGTATGTTATTCATGAAGACGAAGCCCCGTTATCCTACGTAGCGCTAAGCCCGAAACACAAAGCCTATCTTGGGCCAAGTTTGTAGAAGCTTGATCCCAACCTCAAGCCATGAACCTTCAACCCTAAACTCCAAGCTCCATGTTCGGAGAAGGTAGGCACAACCCTAAAGCCGAAACCTTAAATCCCAAATCCCATGTTTGGAGAAAATTGATTCCAACCCTCAACCCTAAACCCCTAACCCCCCCAAACCCTAAACCCTAAACCCCAACCTCCTAACCCCCCAAACTCCAGGTTTGGAGAAGGTTGGGTTTATGCTGGATTCGGTTACCACCAACACCTCGAACTACCTGGCTTCTGGGTCCGGCACCTACCTGGAGGACAGGGTAGGAACACATGGGAGGTTGTCCAAATTATGGTCCCTTTTTGGATCCCCATTATAATACGGCACCTAATATTTAGGGCACCCAAAAAAGGGACCATAATTTTGACAACCACCCACATTGTTTTAAGATGTTTAAGGTTAAGGAATGTTGGGGTTTCGGAAGTGTAGGGTTTAGGGCTTAGGAATAATTTCAGGGTTTAGGGTTCAGGAGTTTTGGGTTTAGGAATTTTAGGGTTAAGGGATACCCTAAACCCTAAACCTATGGCTTCGGAACCCAGAGGCAGGCGCTTCCGAGTTGATTGCAGCGGCTGGGCTGCTCTTAAGGGATATGTTTCAGGGTTTAGGGGTTTAGGGGTTTAGGGTTCATGGAAAAATCTGTAAGAAAACATTGACATTTTTTTTAAAAAAGGGGTCCGAAACCGTGTGCCTCATACATTTCCATCCTCAACATGGGGACAATGACAAAAGGATCCTGATTTCTGGAAATCCTAAGCCCCCCAAACCGGTGTATGATCCCAGTTTTCATTTTAATGATGTTTCCATTTTGCTTGGATTCTCCATTCTTGGGCTATATGATATCCCTATATACCCCCCGAATCCTGAACCCTGAATCTTAAACCCGAACCAGAGTGCTAAGCCCTAAACCTTAAACCCAAACCCTAAACCTCAAAGACTAAATCCTAAACCTTAAACCCTAAATCCTAAACCCTAAACCCTAGACCCTAACCCACGGGAAATCAACCCAGGCTGGAGAAATCAAAGTAAAGACGGGCACGGCTGTCGCTCTGGGAGAGCCTTGCTGTTGCTTAGAGGGCTTCGGGTTTAGGATTTAGGGTTTGGGGTTTAGGGTTGGGGTTTAGAGTTTAGGGCTTAGGATTTAGTTTTAGGGTTTCGGTTTAGGGTTTAGGATTTAGGGTTGGGGTTTAGGGTTTAGGGTGTAGGATTTATGTTTTAGGGTTTTGGTTTTACGGCTTAGTTTTCAGGGTTTGGGGTTTAGGTTTTGGGTTTTAGGGTTTAGGGTGATTGAGGCTCAGGGTCTCAGTTTGAGGTTTTGAGGGGTTTTCAGAGGAGTGAGTCCTTGTACAATCACTTGAAGCCCTAAACCTGAAACCCCCAACCCTAGTGAGTCTCTTGTAACGATCCCCCGAAAATCCCCCAAAAATCTCTAGAAGCTCCGACGGCTCCCCGCCTAACAGCTTATTAATGCACTCAAACAGTTCCCCTTGAAACATAGCAATAAGGCCAAATACGCGATACACAAGGGTCACACAAATCTTGTGTAGTGATATTTAGGGCCTAATTTAGGGATCATGTCAGGGATTGTAGGGCATATAAGACGGGATTTTTGGTTACCCCAACTTCTATAGCAAGGATCTTTTAAGTGTTTTAGGATATTCATGGAGTTCTAATCTAGGGTTGGGGTAAGCCAAAGCCCCGTATCCAATAATAAGGAATCTACACTAACCATCGACGATGGGACGCAGATCAGTGCCGATGTGGTAGTCTTCGCCAGCGGCTACCCAGCCTAAATGGGAGCAGTTTTTTGAGCAAACCATGGTCCCAAATTAGAGTAAGATTACATCCTGCTTTTGAGTGTGGTGAACATTTTACCCTAAACCCTAAACCTTAAACCCTAAGCCCTAACTCTACACGAAGAAGAGAAATCTTACTTGGTTCAATCCCCTAAAGAGATGCTACTCATGTGGCAGGCTTCGAGCTTGCAGGGGCCTGAGTTCTTTTGTACGAAATGTAGCCTAAACTTTGGGTCTTTCCCCTTACAGCGGCAGTTACCACAAAAGGTAGTGAGAGTTATTGAAGCCAGTTAGTAACTCTAAATCCTAAAGCTTCTTTAAGGACAGTTGCTGGGAGGAGGAAGGACCCAGCGTAAACCCTACTCATAGGGTCTGGGAGATTGAGCAGGTAGGTTAGGTTCGGGTTTAGGGTTTAGACTTTAGGCTGTAGGGTTTAGAGTTTAGGGTTAAGGGTAGATTCTGGGGGATGAGCAAGAAGGTTCAGGATGGGGAGAACTGGGTTATGGCTTTAAAGGGTTTTATGTATACTGACTGAGTCCCCGTCCCGTGACCCTCCAAGTAAGTAAGCATGGCTACTTACATGCCCCCTAAGCCCTAAACCCTAAACCCCAAACCCTAAAGCCTAACCTCTAAACCCCCAAACCCTAAACATTCCCACCCTTTGGCCAGTCGTGATTCCAGGTTATGAGCCTCTGTCCCAGCTCATTGCAGACGTCCTTGGGAAGAATGTTGCAGCACGCCTGGGCAGGATATGCGAGAGTTTGACAACAACTGGGTTTAGGGTGTTATGGTGTTTAGGGCACCCTAAACCCTAAACGTAAGCAATGGGGGCCCCATAGTCTCTTCATGATCTCGATGTTTTCCTGTCGCGCCCCCCCTTGCTTGAGAAATTCACCTTGGCAGGATATGGGGCCTTGGTTCAGAGAGACCCGGAGACGCAGGAGCCTTGGCAAAAGAGGTTTAGGTTGGGTTAGGCCGCGCCCAATAATAGGTTTAGAGTTTAGGGTCCAGGGTTTAGGGGGTATACTGGGAATATATAGGGACTCGAATACTTATAGGGTTTAGGAATTAGTGTATAGGGTTTACGGTCTAGGTTGGGTCAGGCCCCACCCAACAATAGCGGTATACTGGGAACATATATAGGTACTCCAGTATAGGGTTTAGGGATCAGGTTGCGTCAGGGTCACATTCACTAATAAACGTAGAATGGGAATGCATAACTACCCTGATATAAATTCTATTATCCCTTTTTAGGCACTACGGGTGGGTGGGGGCTGAACCTAAGGGTTTTGGTTTAGGGCATGGGATCTTGGAAGGGAGGTTCAAGTTGTAGTCAGGCTGATGGGTTACTATTAAAGTCTACGCCCTAAGCTCTAAACGGAAAAAATTGGAACCTGAAACCCTAGACCCCAAAGCCTAAGCCCCAAACCCTCAACCGAAAACCCCAAACCCGAAACTTCAAACCCCTAACGCTAAACTTCAAACCCCAAGCCCCTCGCTCAGGACCCTGGGAGGGAGAACTCCGCAACATGTGGAAGCCCACAAGCGTGGAGGGCCTTTGGCTGCATGGCGGCAATTTGCTGCAGAATCGGATCTACTCGCACTTCCTGGCCTTACAGCTGAAGGCTTGGGAAAGTTTAAGGTTTAGGTTTTAGGGTTGTGTAGGGTTTAGGGATGTTACCCTCCAATAATGGAGAATGACATGGAAAATACATGGGCAGCTACCATCTACGTAGGGTTTAAGGTTTAGGGTTTGGAGAGTCAAGCTGGAAACTCGAATGGCATATGAAATGGACTCTGGGCATAGGTCCCACACTGGCTTCACCTGAGGTTCTGATTTGGTCATAAGTTTGCCAGTGTCAAGGCTCGACATGTTGGCATTCCGACCTGCGTGTACAAGCCGCCGCGCAGTTCCCACACGGGATTCGAGCGCGCTGGGGCATGATAAGTTATCCAGCTAATGCAAGCAGATGCATTTTTTGGATCAATCTCTTGATCACTTCTCAGAGGTGCAATGTACAGTTGTAGAGAACATCTGTTTCAAGACATCTTCAAACTCAGCCAGCCCCTGCCATTGCACAGCCCGCAGGCTGAGATCACAAGCTTCTCTACCATAAAGCGTTCCTCGTGCTGTACAGCCTGGTACTTCAGGATGCCATACCTTTTGATGCAATCATGCAAGAGGTGACGTCAAACCCAGCAGGTTAAAGGCATGTCATTTGTTGACAGCCGGTCACATCTTGCTGCCCAGACATGTAAAGAATGCCGACGGCTTGCACAAAAAGGGCTGCGGAAGCATACTTTTTTCCGCGTCTGGGTCTCATGTGCACCGATGCGTTGCACTTGTCTTCAGCATTCTCCTTCTGCACGACATTTGCTGCTTCTCATTCTGCTAGTGGGAGTTGCAACGATGCGGGAGTGACTACCGCCTCAAAGAAGACAACAACTACTACTAAGTCTTCTTGTTCCCCCCTGCGGCCACGTTCTACAACCGCTTCAATAGCGGACGATGTCGACGAAGCGGTCGATGAGTTTTTTTGTCTTTGTTATGAAATCTGAAATATTCTAGAGGATGACAAGCAAGCGAAGCCCCGACATTGAACATTCATGTTTTGGTGTTAATTTGGGGCTATATAGGGGTTATGTAGGGGTAATGGAAAATAGAATGGAAACTACTAGTATAGTTGTGTTTTATGGTGAGAAAGTGCACGAACCGCAGGCAGGACAGGCAGCCTACTGTTTGCATTCCATCTCAGGCTGCGTCGTTCCCATTCCTTCAGCATCCCAGCGCGCGGCTCTCAGGCAAGCCCAGTATCCTGCCAAAGGACAAGGGAATGAGTTTGTGCCAAAGCTTGTGCGCTTCCTACATTAACCTATGGCCAAATAGTCCCTTCTTCGTGGCGCTGGTAGTAGGACGGTAGCCGAAACAGCAGGATGAGGAGTAGTAGTGTTGTCGTAGGAGTAGCTGTCGTATTACTTGTGTCAGTGGCCCTGAGCACCCTCCCGAGGGAAGCCACCACTACATTCAAAAGAACCAGCGAGTGCAAACTAGCTCTGGTAAGAGAATGGTTGAACTGCCTGACAGCGATTTTGTATACTTTGGCCGTGTTCTCTACATGAGAAGAGCAAAGCAGTACTAGCACCATTCCAGTTAGTAGTAGCAGCACTATTGCTTTAGGTAGTAGACCTCATCACTTTGCACTGGCTCGATGATCCAAAAGTACCCCTGAAGGTCAACCTACAGCATAGCACGCATCCGCTCGTGTTTTCGCGTGTTCCTGCAAATAGACCCTAAACCCTAAATCCTAAACCCTAAACCTTCAAACCGTAAGCCCTAAACCCTCAACCCTTAGACCCTCTGGTTTAGGAAGGGGATCTTCGGCAAAGTTTCATCCTAAGACCGCCTAAGACCCTCAATTCAAACCTTATAGGATCCTAAAGGGGGGGTGGTTCAAGGGCCAGGGGGGAGGGTACAAGGGAGCCTTCGGGAATGTTAGGGAAGCTTAGGGATTATAAGGGAATATGGGGGATTACTAGGTTACCTATCCCCATTGGACCACCCTCCCTTAAGGACATCCTAAAAACCCTTAACCCCAAGTGAAAGTCTCGCCCTTGTACCCTGGATTGGGTGCTTGTGAAAAGTGGTCCCTATGGAATCACAAAAAAAGATTTCCATGCTCCTCCGGTAATCCCCACGCATTCCTTGGGGTTTCTTGGGGCCCCCTGTCTAGAGAAACTCTCAAATTCAATCCCTGAATTCTAAACCCTAAACCCTAAACCCTTGAGGTATGGAAGGCATCTTCTATCCGCAGCGACGGGCCTGCTGTGTACGCCCCGGTGGTTTTCATTGACTTACTTGCGGTTAGTAGGGAAGAAAGAGAAGATTATCATCCTATATAATCCCTGTCTTCGATGGATTCCCTTATTCCCTATATTATCCTAAATAATCCTTGTCTTTAGTATATTCCCTTATTCCCTACTGACCACCAGTAAAGGAAAGTGTTTGCTTCTCCATCTTGGCCCATCAGGTATCCCGAAAGAGCTAGCGGCTAGCTTTATATTTTGCCGCATCTCAGCATTTGGCCTGAAGGCTCCAAGGTAGTCTCGAATCGTTGTCGTGGTGAGTCGGTAGTTCGCGCTTTCCGAAGCGATGATGCTGTGGTTGGCCTTCCTTCCTATGGCCGCTGCCCTCGATGAGGAGTGCTTGTTGCAAAGCCAGGCAGTTACAAAAGACTCAGCCGCAGATTCTCTTGACCTCCCCGACTGCAGCGATTTGAAGGCTAGGTGGCACTTTGGGATAGTTAAGAATTTCCCCCTCTTGTTGCAGAAGGGAACCTTATGCACAAGTACTCCTGGGGGCCTTGAAAGCACTTGGGTATTCCTCAATATAACCCCTATACAATCCCTTAAGGGGGCCCTATATAATCCCCTTTTAATCCCTCTATACCCTTTGGGGTCCCTAGGGCCCCCCCTTTTCAAGCACCTCCCAGAAGGCTATCGAGAGCTTCTGCAAAGTGGAGGCTCATCGTGGTCCAGCCAGGGGTTCGACCTGCACCTTCTCTTGCGAGCATGATGGCTCTGTGAAGAATCCCGGCCAAGTTATAGCAATCTCATGTAATTTCGGCTTAATGGTTTAGGGTTTAGGGTGGCTTAGATTCTAGATAGGCCCCCAAATGGTCCTATTTGGAGGCTTTGCAATTGGTATAAGGGTATTCTGTAATAAGGACCCCCCCAGAATTCGCTGAAAGCCCTGTAGATCCTACGGCTTTTCCAGGGCCACCCATTTTTTGAGAAACTCCTATAGTAATTTGGTCAGGAACCTTGTCCATGGCGGCAGCAAGGGCATTGAACTGGTTTCCGATTCCGCCGGTGAGGAAAACCCGATGCACACAAACTTTGTGTCACTTCCACACGTGACTGTGACGTTGTTAAGGAATTTGATATTCGGTTACCATAATATGGACAAGCAGCAAATAAGATGGCTTCCTCGAATGGTAACTGAATTCAAGCGACACAGGTGAACTGCTACGATGGACGTGGTGCACATAGCTACGGCATGGAGGACTGGAAGAGCAAGGGGTACAAAACTAGCGACAACGGATGCGCACACGATTGCTACCATAATTCTGGCTGCGGCGGCTATGTCTATTTCTTTGCACAAGGTATCTCGGGTATTCCTTGGATTTTTATCTATCCCATTACCTACATACATTTACACATAAACGTAAACATATACTAGTTTCCAGCTCAAATTCCATCATTCCGACAACATGCAATCCCAGGTATGTGTTTCCAGCGCACCTACATCTCTCCGGATCCCATCGGCGAATGTGAGCTGGGTCAAATTGGCACTGAGAGCTGGACGTTCACCACGAACATCAAGAAGAAATCAACTCCCAGAGGTTCTATGGTTTATAGGGTTTAGGGTTGATAGGGTTAAGGGTTTGGGACTTAGGAGTTTGGGCCTATGGTTTAGGATCCAAGGTTTAGGGTTTAGGATTCAGGATTCAGGGTTTCGGGATTACGGTTTGCAGTGTTTAGGGTTCAGGGTCTAGGATCTTCGATGTGGGCTTAGGATTTAGGATTCAGGGCTTAGTGCTTTTGTGGGTCGGGGGGGCCGCAGAAAAATGTTTCGTATTTGGGGAGAAAGAATGGGGACACTTTAGCTTGTTAATTACTAGTATTACTACTGCTGCTGCACTACTACTAGGTGCGCGTCCCATATG